TAAAAGAATGTTAAGTGATGAAGCTGTTAGTTCCTATGACCATTGCAACATTGATGATACTGATGTAGAAACCAAGTCTGAAGATAAGTATCTTGGATTAATTCTTTCTACTGACCTATCCTGGTCTTCTCATGTCTTAGAGATTTCTAAAAGAATATTTCATCTGACTTTTTACATCAAGAAGTTAAGGCACTCAAGCATAACTAAACCCCTCCTCCTCTTACAGTTTGTTAACTCTTGCATCCTACCTATTCTTCTTTACTGTTCACCCTTATTCTTTCCTGGATTGCTTAAACAGGACTGTCATACTTCATAGAACACTGAAGATTGTCAGTAAGGCAAGTGGTTTGTAATTAGGCCATATCGTTGACATTGTCATTGATAGGCACTTGATGTAATGCAACAAATTTGCTAAAAGAATTTTGGCAGACTGTGAGAATCCACTTTACCCGCAGCTTCAACCTTGTGTCACCTTAGATAAAACAAGAAGTCATTTCAAAAGACCTTATGCACGTACGTCTAAGTATGAAAATCTCACGATACCATATTTGGCACGTATTTCATGTGATGAAAAAGGTGTCAGGGATGAACTAACTAACTATCCTTCTTTCCGTTAGCAAATAAACAATTTTCTCCACCCCTATAACATCAAGCTTAACGGTTATTATTCCTCTTATATTTATAATCCTCTCATTTTTTGTTTTGTTTATTTTCTCGTCAGTGTAAACATCATCTAAGCTGTGTTATATATGTTAATTTTGTGCTTCCCCCCACCATGCTGCTATATCAACAGAACGTTAGATTCAATAACCTATATCATGCTAAAATTTCCAAACTGAATCGACAATACTGTTTGAATAAGCTCACTGTTATTATTTTGTTTTTCTTATTTTGTGAGTCGAATATTTTTGACTTTATATCTTAAATGTGGACAAATTCCTCTGGTTAATTTTGTTTTAATTTTATTTATATTTTGAGTAAATTAGGTTCAATTTTGTGGCAAATGCTGAGAATTCCGTTCTCTTTTATAAGTACTGCATTTTGGAATAAAGAAGATTATTGTTGTTATTGTTATTAGCAAAGATTTCTTAGTTATTCACCCAACCTTTCGCATGGTCTATGAGTACGACTTTTACATACATCAGAGACAATCGGAATTCTGTGGAACAAGCCAACTCCGTATGTTGGAAAGTAATTCATGTAGCCCCCTTCTTTTCCTTGACCAAATACTCCATGACGATTAAGTTTTGCAAACGATTTTCTACTCCGCTTGTAACTGTCTTCTAACATTGTTGTTTTACTAGCTTATTCAATTAACTGGGCTTGTATCTTGGTATTCTAACGCAATTCTACTTAGTCATTCTATTCATCTCTTGGTTATGTAATAACTTGTTGCTGACTCCTTCAAACTAACTGACCTAGAATTCTGTTATTATTTTGACTCCCACCCCGATACAAAGCTTAGATATCTTCTTGCTGCCATCTACTAGTGAATTGTTTTTATAGCTTTTAACCTCTTATTTTCGCCATCGTTAACCTAAAACTGATAATTCTTATGGTTTGTTAATATTTTGTCTGCGTCGGTGGCACACTCGTAGAATGTTCGTCAACCATGCAGGTGGTTCGGTGTTCGATTCCCGCTTACGCACTCCTTTACCTCGCTACGTTAGTAATACAACTAGTAAAAACAGAATTTTGGGCATGAAACTAGCAAACCCATCTCATAAAAAATAAATACCCCTGCTACCGAAACTTCACACCTCTAGCTCGAAGCAGTATCTTCCACTGGGAAATTAAAGGAACAAAATCAAAATCAGTGGTAATATTTTGATGTAAAAAACTATATATTATTGCAGAGCCGATAATAAGGAATTAAAAATTAAAAATGTGCGTGGGTAACTTTCGAAAGTCAAGGTCATTATTGAATGATTAAAAAAAAAAAAGAATTAAAGCGGATATTGTGTAATGAGATGAAGAGAAATTTAGTTAACCTATTGACTTAAGCAGGCCGCCAACTGTTTAATCACTTGAGTTAGTTGAGAATAAGAATTCCAATCGACCTTTACAACAAGCTAACCTTTTATACGTTAATGTCTTTTTCTAAATAATAAATTATTTTGAATAAAGAAAGAACAATCAAATTTGCAGGATAATACGAGGTTGTTTTATTTTGTCGATTCTCTCTCTTCAACTGCGTCGTGCATCCTGAATAAATCAATTATATGTTACAAAGTGGTGTCTGAACATACTTTTTACGATGATTTGAAGTTATACATAGAAAGTATGAGCAACGCAATTTCAAAAATGATGTAAGTAGACAATTGTTCAGTGTTAAAGGAGTAACTATTTATATATTGTAATTAGACATAGGCGTGGGGTTGTGACTTCGCATAAAAACAAGGATAAACTAGAAACAAGATGCAAGATAGAACAACACAGTTAATTTATACATAATAGGATGGAGAGTTCAAGAGGGTAAGGGTGAATAGTGAAGTAAAATTATAAAACAGATAGAATAATTTCATTCAGCAGATTCGGATATGAGTATAAAACTTGGGCACTGTGGTAGAGTATAACTCCATTATGGATAAGATTTTATTTTGATAAAACACAGTGGTGTGATACAGTAATGATAACTGATGACCATGTTTCGAGCACAAACTATTGCTCATAATCATATCAAGTTACTTACGCAACTTTCACGCTTCATTTATATACATGAGTACAACTAATTGGATATTTGAATAAAATCAATATAAAATAATGTACATTCAGAAATTATAATATGAGTGTTATTGATCAATTGCAATCAAATGGGAAATAAGACGAGTGCTTTTTAGTCAAATAAGTAACTTGTTAGAATGTTGTGATGTGCTTGAATTGAAATAGAATTTTGAAATTATTTATTATCTTCTTCTGATTTGACTGGTAATAATATCTCCCATATTTCTAGTATTTGCATTGAGTCATTCCTATTGTGTTGGGTGTAGACTCGATGAACTAGGCAGGATTCAGTAATCAATCGCTCTCTCTACCTACATAGATTACTTCTTAGAATCTTAACTCTCCCCCACCCTATTGGGTGTTAATGCATGCAGTGCAATTGCTGAGATTTTTTCTAAATTACTCATCTTCTCGGGGTTAACCATTCTTAGTAATTTAGAAAACAGCTGAGCAATTGCACTGCATGCATTAACACACAATAGGGTGAGGGAGGGATAAGATTCAAAGAAGTTACATAGATAGATGAGTGGAGAGAGGTCAATTCCACTCATGTATATAAATGAAGTAAAAAGTTGTGTGAGTAACTTGATATGATTATGAGAAATAGTTTGTGCTCGAAACATGGTCATCAGTTATCACTACTGAATCACATCACTGTGTGATTTATCAAAATAAAATCTTATCCATAATGCAGTAGATTCGGAACCTGAACTCAGCGAGGGAAAACCAAAATCAAGATTAAGTGGAATGTTACGCAACAGAACAAAACACAAAAGCACACGAACACAATCAATTATGGTTACCAGCGTGGTGAGAGTTTAGTCACACTCTCTTTCTGAATGCATAGGTTGGGTCGAATTCTTGTGTAACATTTAACTGAATTATTCAAGATGTACGCAGTTGAAGAGAGAGAATCCAGGAAATAAAACAAGCTCGTATTATCCTGCAAATTTGATCGTTCTTTCTTTATTCAAACTAATAAATGGAACCGGCTGTGTGAAATAATAAATTATTATCAAGAGTTGGTTTGTAAGGATTAAATTGGATTTTTACGAGCTTGACCATGGATTGATATCAGTTAGAGAACCATTGAAAATCAACAGAGAGTACTGGAGAGCTTTAGGAATCGGGTCCTAGTGGCTGAATGGTATACGAGCCAGCTTGACTTGTAACCGAAAGGTCCTGGATTCGAACCCTTGTGGTGAGTGCGTACTGCCAAGGATTTTCAAGCTAGGATCAAACAGTTGTCGAGTACTCCATGTTGGTTTTCAGTGGTTCTCTAACTGATGTTAATCCGTGGTCAGACTCGTAAAAAACAAATTATTATTAATTTATATCACCAAAAATAACAAGTACCAGTTACCATCAACGGAAGAATTTCGAAAGACGTGACTTCTTTCAATTTTTCTGGGCATTATCGTTTTAACGACAGGTAAATGGTGTGAATGAGGAAGTCGAAAGCACTCAGGATCGAAAAGGCAAGGCAGACATTCATTATTGTGAAATCAGTTTGGAAATATTCTGCATCCTGCAGGAAAAAAAAACAAATTTCTAATCTTCCACACCAATAATTAGTTAGTGGCTAGTTTTAGGTGGGTAAGAAACGTGGCGCACGCGTCACAAAAAGCATTTCCAAGTAGTCACTGCTGACTTCACTGGCTCTATATCGAAGATCAGATGGCTGGTTAGAAAGAATTGACAGACAGAAACACTAGGAACAAACCTATCAAGAACCTTATTGCTCAAGAAGCATTCCGTAAAAAATAAAGATGGATTAGGCATCACGCACCAGGCCATTGCTCAAGTGCTGCCTAAATGAGGAATGACGGGTTGATCATTGGCCTTTGGGTGACATAAAGCAGATCATGTGAGGAGGAAATGAGACATTTTTAGCAGTCATGTGGCCAACTGAAGAAGAATCTAGAGAATGTACGTTTTCAGCCTTATTTTCTAATCGGAACCTAAGAGAACAATAACAATGAATCAATTTGTATGAGACTTTGCCATCTTCGGCATTCAGCCAAATACAGATTACTTCATTCATTGAGGCAGTCCCGTTTAGTTTCAAACGTAGACAAGACAAAATATTTTTCATGGTTCGTAAATGAAGGTAAACCTGTATACACATGAAAATTTAATGAATTTTGATTGTTTCTGCATTCTAAATAATTCATTAGAAGAAACTTTTTTATTATTCATCTGTATGCATTCACAATAAATATTTTCGGTAAGTGTACTGTATAGCCTTGCTTCTCCCTTATTTTTATATCTATTGCAATGTATATATATATACATATCGAATTAATAATTATTATTGCCTCTGAATGTTACTCAGTTACATAAGACAATTCAAAAAGTCTCTAAAAGTAGATATACGGAAAAACTTGTGTACTTTAGTAGGACGTAATTTCATATTCATCTAATTAGTAGTTGAATATATAACATAGTAAAACAGTTTCATGTTTAAGGGATGACAAAGTTTCAAATACAATTTATTACTGTTCATAATCATATCATCAATGCTAACTACGCAACTTTTTCCACCTTTTGTGACACATTTGCCTTACTTGAAACACAGAACATAGATAGGTTTTTCGAGCACATCAACTCGAAAGTATAAGCAGTTCAATTCGCTTATGAATTGGGGTGTCGGAAGGAGCATCTTCCAATGCTAGATTTTAGCACACAAAGAAACATGGTAGGAATATCCACACTAGAACTTACACAAAGCCCACTTACACATTTGAACGATATTTAGTTTTCTGAATCTTCTCACCATATTTCAGTAAAAATATGGTCGGGGAAATGTTTAAGTACTGGGGCAGAAAAACTTAAAAGTGTTAAGATATATCTAAGACAGGGAGTGAGGCATATAAGGGAAGCTTTAAAACCTTATTATTATCCTGATTTATTAATCAGGAAGTATGTAGGAAAATGTTAATATTGAATTTATAACAATGGTCATGATAGCGATAATAATAACATTAATGATGACATGCATATCAAAAAACATCAACAATGAGGAATTTAAACCATTGGGAGTACTTCCATACTAAGAAAGAACTTCGGAAACCTTGCGTTAAATTCTCTAAGGCTGGAATAAAACTGGCTTTTGAACCCATAAGCTGACATAGAAACAAGCTTTGTCTGTTAAAGGATCCTGCGGAGCCGCTGAAACAAAACAATTTAGTTTATCTAGTACCCTGCAACCATTGTCAGGTCAAGGGAGTAGAATGGAATCAATCAAACAAGAGGATCATGAAAACGTAGCTAAATCCACATTAGGTGAGCCGAATAAGAAAACAAGTCCGGAGAATATTTCAGCTATGGCACCACGTGCAATTACACACAACCATACAATATAGGATGGGATAAGGTGTCAGTTTTAAAATCTAATGTAACAGTAGGGTGGAGGGAGGGTTTGATAATGGGAGTTTTATCTATTGAATCAACTGAAAATACGTGCTACATAAATAATTCAACAAGCATCCATCTGGAAATCTGAAAAATTCTACTACCTCTATGAAGAATCGGAAAGAATAAAGAAAACTATAAAACTGAATTTTCGAATATGTGTAGTCATAATCGGTGATATGAATTTGAATAATAATAAATTGTATTTGAAACTTTGTCATCCACTAGATGTAATTATTTTGTTGTGTGATATATCCCATAAATAAATTAATGTGGAGTCTTTTATAGTTACTTTCGGTATGACCCAGAAGATATTTAGTTCAATTGTATGATATTTGTTGGAGTTCTGTCATCCGAGATGGATGGTTTAGTTGTGAGGCTGTCACTGTCTTTACAGACAACATCTTCAGAGCAGATTTCACTGTGAAGTGAGCCGTTAGAATTTTCCACGATTTCGTCGAATATCTCTCTGGGTAACTATGAATATGAAGTAGAATGTAAGAAAATCTCTGTAAATAGCCGATCACCCTCAAGGTTAACAGAAAAGATACTTCGTAAACGCGTGGGGAATTTTAAACTCTGATTTATTAGTGAAGTCTGTTCTGAAGAAATTCTCTAGGAAGGCATTGAAAGATTCACAATTAAACCGTCCAGCTCAGAAAGTGCAACTATACTGATTAAGATTTAGGTGAAACTAACCAAATGAGTTGTTGTGACAAGTATAGATTAACTGACTATTGCAATCTGAACTGTGTATTTTGAAGTTGAAGAAGGCGAAATCGCACCATAGTTTTCTTCGGAAAACAAGTTTTTCCAGACCACTACAGTATGTGATCCGCTTGATACTACCATATGTGGTAATCAGGAAAGCAGACAGTCATAAATGCGTAAAACGGTAACTATTACTGATTGGTTCAGATGAGTAATTATATACCCATTCACATCAACCAGTTTGGCAAAGTAGCTGGTTAGAAATCTGGTGGTTTGAAAACATCAGTTTGTGTAAGCTGAATCAAACCGGATTTGAAACTGTTGTCAGGTGTTTAGATCACATCGATTCCACTGTCTGTCAAGCTTTGTATTAATCCGCTAATTGCTTAAAAGGCTTCCCTGAATATTCCGTTGTGTATCACCTGACAAGTGGCATTGCTAGGGTAATAATGAATTAGTTTCAGACACAATTTTTGTTTGATTGGACACTAGTCACTAACTAATGTAATGTGTTCAGTCCTTTGTTTCGTGCACACTGAATCTTATCATTCAAGTTTGCAAAGTGGCCACCATGCTAGGCGGCTCGCCATCACGGTGCAATTTGAAGTTTTGATGTTAGATGGCTGAAGGCAATCGACAGGATACTTCGGACCTAGTTTTCGTGCTTGCTCTCACTCATCAACAAGGGGGATCTGCAATCTTGATGTGAGCCCGCGTCACCCAGTACTACCTGCAGTAAAAGACGTAACCACTGTGGTATTCGGGCTAGCGGTTGACCTCCTGCAGGACCGTATTTCATATTTTCGTTTGATTACATACCAGTCAGTAATCAGTGTGATTGATCTAGTTCTATCCTATATTAAAGATGAAGAAGCTGATGAGGAATATATCAAGCACCAACTAGCATGAAGGTCCAAGGCTCCCTGCCGATTGCTTCCAACCATCTGATACACACATTAAACGAACTTAAGCTTTTTGGTGACTAGTGCTTGGATGAATTTAGTCATGCTATCCAAACATGATTTTACTGTCTAAGGATAACGGATAAAGTTTGGTAACTAAGCAAAGACTAGAAGTTTTATACTATAAGAATGTGTATACAGCCAAACTCATTTTCGTGGGGGAGAACAAATCTTTGTTTCCTTGTAAGCTTTCATAGAATTTGAATAGCTGTGTCTCATCTCAATTGGTCTATCTTCTTATATGTTTTTGTGCATTAGTGGCTCAGTGGCAGGATGCTGGCCCCCATGCATGTTGTCCGAGGTTCTATCCCCGCCGGTGCACACCATTATCCTCCATAGACGGTTGTAAACTGGACAGAGGGGGAAGGGTGGGTATGAGACCCACCCCATAAAAACACCACTGCTATTGGAACTTCAAAGCTCTAGTCTGAAGTCCAATGTTCCACTCTGAACGCAAAGGAATAAAAAAAGATTTACATGTATGTGTGGTCATAAGTACATTGGTATTTACTTTATTTTATTCCTTTTCGTTCCGAGTGGAACATAGGGCTTCAAGCTGGAGCTTTAGAGTTTCAGTGGCAATGGTGTATTTTCACTAGACGGTGTTTCCAGCCTCAGGCTAAACTGTCCCCCTTTATTGGTGTAGTTACCGGCTGGATGAGGTAAAAGCATGCATCATCCAGAGGCCTATGAATCTCTGCAGTTGAGGGCTATTGGACACATCCCTAAATAGCTGTAATGACAAATAAAATCCCCTAAATTCAACTCCAGAAACCGAAGCTCAAATCCATCTTCCGCAAAGCGCATCACGAAAACGTGTCATTAAAGTTGGTTTCAATGGTATCTTGAAACCCAAATATACAGAGCATGTTTCGGTCGCGCACTGATGTTTGTTGACTTTATATGCATAAAAGCATTTGAAGCCATTTTATATGTTCCGTTATTTTAAAGTGTTAGTTTGTAGGGATTAAATTTGTTCCAATTTTTACCACGGATTATTATCAGTCAGAGGATCATTGAAAGCCAGAGAGTATTGCACAATTATTTTGTACTAGCTTAAGACCCACTGTCAGCCCAGAACCTCCTGATTACAAGCCTAGCTCGTACAAAGTTTAGCACCTTTGACCTGATTCAATGGCCAGTGAATCCTAACACATTTCCAAGCCATCTTAATCAATATAGCTTCACAAACTCATCGATTGACTTTCCGTCCTTGTCTAACCACTGCAATTTGGCCTCAATATTTGTCCCTATTTATCCCAAATTGTAATGTTTCTCATTGTGGTGATTGTATCATACATGGATAGTGTGTTGTTTTTCGATACCATTTTGTTTAAGTGAATCAAGCTGATTCTGACAACGAACTGTGTGTAATAAGCATTGGTGCGTGGTTCTTGTGGTTCTTGCTGTGAATATTCGACTTGATTCTCAGGTACCTGTTACAGTTGCATTTTGGTGAACTAAATCTGTTCTACAATACTTTTATGAGCTAGAACATTATCTAGACTGTGTAGCTGTTTAAAGGTATTGTTGAGGTAATTTGGAGTTCTTTAAATCTTATCTTCGTTGTTAGATAGATCCACACAGACACAACCCGGAATTATCGCTTTTTTGCTGTGTTTTCATCGTTTTGTGACTGTTTGTGTCCCAAGGAAGCTCTGTCCATCTATACAGTAGGATATAGAGAAAGGTTCTTTGCGCTTAGACCACAACGTTAAGAGGTTTTTAATTATTACATTGTATCATCAGAAATTTCCAGTTTGTATCATGGAAATACATCAATGACATCTTATCGTTTTGTTGAGATTAATCTAACGAGTTAATTACCTCAAATATCTTGATTTCATTAACTTTTAGCAGTTTAACGTCTTGACTGCTTAACACTCATTCATGCCTCATTTTTTTCTCATTGTTTAACAAATTATGTGTTGTATGATAGAAATTGTATTATCTTTCAGGATTTTAATCTATAATTATTTTAAAGCCTTTCATCATTACAATATTTCTTACTTCTTTAGTTAAC